GAGCGAAAGAATAGAAAAGAAACTATTTATGCCAATATCTTACCCTCATTCTTCTATATGCTGACAGGCACTTTGCACAAAGTTGGAGATCACGTAAGCTCATCCGTCATCTTGATCATACATAGTGTTGCTACTGATTAGGGCAATCATCTTTGTCGACTCCTCATCACAAAAGTTGGAGATCACTATTTCTTACGCTTTAAATGATTTGATCTGGTCTGAAGAATTTATTTGTTAACAGCTCGTGTCATTAGGCTTCTTGTGCTGATGATGCTTTTCAAGAAATGCAATCAGGTAAGGAGCTTTCTAGGCGATTTTAGACCGTGACATCGTCGCCCATCAAAGACAAATCGCTAAGTTAACACCCCACAATTGAATGGATAAACGGGAGTACAGTGGTTAGACAGACGGGAGTGGTTTTGCTCCAATAACAAAATGACGTTTCTCCAAATATCATGAGCGCCTCTTGAAATTTTAGCTTCTGCAGAAGTGTTTGTAAAGGATACACACGTCACGACGAGGAAAATTGCACCACAATTACTGAACCTTATGTTCGGAACACGATTGAGTTCTAAATCTTTTAATTGGCTCAATCAAGTTCTAAACTTTTATCAAAAAGTATAATCGAGTTCTAAAACTTTTAATTGGCCCAATTAAGTCTTTCACATTTATTGAAAAATGCAATTAAGTCCTAATATCATATCAGAAAGTGCAATTTAAGGATCCAACATAAGCACTTTTTGAGTAACACATTAGCAGTTTTAGAACTGTTCATCCAAGAAAGAAGGTTAGGACTTAACTGATCCAATTGGAAAATTTGTGGACTCAATTGCATTATGTACGTAAGTTTTAGCACTCCTTTTGTAATTTTGCCCATCACAAGGTAATGAGTATGTAAACACAAATGGTTAAAGTACACTTTCAAACATAATTGAAGTCTTTGGAAGAGTTGCTAGTCATTTAGATTGAATGATAAAATTCTAAGATGCAACCCAGCATCTATATACATTTGGTACATCTCGGTCCTCAAATGTGGTGAGCCTCATGCCAAATTATTCATGCACATAATGCACCCAATAATTTCTCAAGAAACGAGAAAAGTACTACCGTCAGCTTATCAAAAAGTTCATTAACATGATAATTATTCATCGGAAGATAAGTGGAAGACAAAGTTATGATAGGATTGAGCAACCAAGCTAATCCAGTACCGAACAGAATCAAACCGGCCTTACTCAACTGGTTCCAAACCAGTTCATACGGGGATAGGAAGGTTCCCGAGGAAAAAATTGGGGAACCACCTCCCTTGACCGGTTTGGTTCCCGATTTTCTACCGTGAACTGTGAATTCTACTCAGGCCGGTTCTCAAATAGAACCGATCTTGAATATGCTGTTAGCTTCTTCTTCTTCTTCTTTTTATTTACTTTGTTTCAAAAAAAGTTTGATGAGTTTTGCACCAGGAAAATTGGGAAATCCATCAATGTCTTAATCACGTGGCTACAAATTATTCGCATAATATGTTTTCCTTAAATAATAATTATATTACTTAAAGTTAGGCTCGGTTCTTGGATCAACCTTAGAACCAGCTTGGAACTAACCGGTTTAGTTCCAGACCGGTTTCTAATGAAACTAGAAATCAACTCTGACAGGATAAGTTTCCGATTCTTGATCCGAAACCTAACTCACCTTGAAATTAGGGGTTCGCAAAAGAACCGAGAACCACCCAGATCGCCCATAATCGAACCAAACCGGACCGGCCCGAAACCGGTGGTTCCTAGTTCCACGGTAAGTACCGGTCCGGTTCGGACCAATAATATATATATAATTTTTAAGGGAACTTCCAACAAAAAATAAAGAAAAAAATTTAAGAAACATGAGAATCCTAAAATCCCTAATCTAAAGCTCAATGCTCATCAATTAAGTGTTGTCTCGTCTCACTCACATCTTGTTTGAGTTGTCTTTCTATCTCACTCATGATCTCGACTCTCAAGCTCAACGCCCATCAACTCATAGCCGCACCTCCGGCCGTTCATCGCCTCCCTATCTCGCTTTTGGTCACCTCCATTTGTGTGAAACTTAGTGGGACCAGTTCCATGGACCCACCCGGGAACCGGTTCCATGGCGGTCCGGTTCCCGAGTGGATCCATTGAACCAACGGGTGGTTCCCGATTCCTATTTTTCGAAACCGGTTCTTAGTAGGCGGTTCTCGGTTCCATGGCAGGAACCGCCCACCCGGACCATGATCATCCCTACTTGAAATTGATCATCCTTGACTTATGATATTATTAACCTATATAAGAATTGGTTATCCAACTGGTATCATATGGGATACTACAACACGAGTAGTTGAACATTTGTGCGCACTGCAGCAATGGCTCCTATCTTTAGTTATATTCCAGCGTGTCTGTCCCTTGAACTCTACAAATTGAAATTCACTAAACTATGCGCAACGTGATAGATCGGCGTAGGTTATATTAATACACCGTGGTCCACATTTGCTTGTCAGGGAAATTAATTAAAATAAATTGTGGGTCCTGCTCAATACTGTTTGTAGATTAATCTGAAGGTAATAGACTATGATTCTATCGCCTTTAAACAAAAGCTAATGCCGATTATGCTGATATTGATTGCAATAACTGGATATATTATTTTTATTGCAGCAAAGCCTTATTTTAATAGAAAATTGAATTTCTCATAATCTTAGGTTAAAAGATAGTGCTTATCATGGATGCCAGAGCGACAGCTTAAGTAGTACTCAACGTGTCCTTTTCAGGTCCAGAAATCATGCACTACGTGAAAATGATTTTAAAGATTTTAAGTAATGGTTTTAATGACATTGGGTGAGCGAAATCGTATCCTCTTTTGACAGTTGAAATCAAAGCGAAATTAGAATACCATTATCTTTGATATCAAAGGACGTAATTGGACCGATTTCTTAAAACAGCATCGATTCTGGATGGTGATTTTTCCTTTTTATAAAGTAAACCGGTAAACCTACCGAAATTAACTCATTGAAAACTAGGATTCAAGGTTTGTCTGTCGTCCCATTCTTTGTAACAGGTGGGCATGTTTGTTTTGGCTTTCTTTTAAGCAAAAAGTTACTTGTTAACTCTCCCGTTAAAACCCTGAAAACGGAAAAATTATCAAAAAATCATGAACTTATTGTATAGATGTCAATTCGGTACTAGGCATTTCAAATTGGCCAATTTAATATTAAATCTTTTGATGATTTGCCAATGTAGTCCTTGACATGAATGTCAGCCATCCCAAGTTGTATGATCAGCGCTCACATGAACACTTTTTGCAATTTTTTAATAATTTTTCTGAATTTTTTCCCTTTTCTTTTCTTTCCTTTTTTTTTTCTTATTTCTCTCCGCTGGTCTGCGGCCTTGGCGTTGACCGATGAGGGCTTCGGGCGGACCGCAATGCCCTCACCCAGTGCCAACGAGAGTGGCCGGCCCTCGCCGGCTACAATCAAAACAAAAAAAAGAAAAGAAAGGAAAAAAGGAAAAAAATAAAAGTTATATTAAAAATTGTAAAAATTATCCACATTAGCGTCGGCCATAACACATAAGATGACCAATGTTTACGTTAGTAATTTCCGGCTAAAAGTGGCCAAAAAAACTACAATGGCAAATCATCAAAATTTTTAGGACTAAATTGGCCAAATCGAAAAGTTTAGTATTGAATTGACATTCGTACAATAAATTTAAGGCTTTTTTGGTAATTATCCCCTGAAAAATGTTATTTTAACTTCCGAAAATTATGAAAAAACCGCAAATAGTTTATAAATTATTCGTACATTTTAATTGTTTAGAGGGTTTCACATTAAATTAAATTCACATTTATAAAGTTGTAAGATATTGAGAAAATAAAAATAAATAAATGAAGAAGACAATCATACGGGATCTTTCCGTTTTTGGTAATATTAGAATTCGAAATTGTCTTTTATGTCTGTCAAAATACTAAACATCAATTCAGCTGTCTGAGCCGACGCTATTTGATGCTCTGATTGAACCGTTGGGCTGGTAAACTGGTGGCGATCGAAACCAGTTTTTGTGCACTTAAAATGACTATAATGTTTCATTCGGTTTGACCGTGATTGCAATGAATGATTTAGGAAAATTAACAGAGCCACTATGATATCATGACATCTTTTGTGCAATAAAATGACTTTGATGTTCCATTTGACCATGATTTGAATGAATGATTTAAGAAAATTAATAGAGCCACTATGATGATACCATGACATCTTTAGACCATGCAGAGTCATGTGTTAATCTTTTTTATCGTAATCTATAGTTAAGGTCTCGGATCCGCCTAATTAAGCTAATTAACTTTATCTTGTGTGGTCGTACGACAATACTCACTCCTACTTTGTTTGCCTGTGTTGATTAAAGAAACCAAAACAGGAGCAATTGCTAAGGATTCCAAAGATTGTACTGTTGACTCGTGTGCACGAACCAGTCGATGCTCAGTTGGCCTTTCACATTAGCAGATTCTAGGGTTTGATCTCAATATAATAATTGTTGCGTGTTGAATGGGACGGGGTTGAAATATAATGCGTTGCTTATTGAAGTGGACATAAATTTTAATAGGAGAATGGGTATCCCATCAACATCAACTGGATGTAGAATAAGCAAGGCAAAGCAATATTTTTCTCTCTCCAAAAGAATTCAGACGGTCCAAAATCTCACGATTGGCGCGATCCATCTCTTATATAGTTAAAATCACGCGCAACATAAATTTGATAAAATATCGTGATTGTAAAAAACTTGTGGTTGACTGAAATCTATTAAAACGCGTTTAGGGGGAAAGATTATATGCTCAATGGTGATTTTATCATCTCAAAGTTGGATTTGTTTACTGTCTTTTTCTTTTTCTTTTTCTTTTTCTTTATTTGTACAAGGTTCCCTTTCACATTGCTTTCCTTAGCTTTGACGCGGTCCACATATAAATTCAATAAACTTTCCGATCATATAGAACATTTAAATCCACCTTCTCTCAATCTGAATTCTGAACCCCATCACTTTCACTTTTTGCAATTTGTGCTATGGCCCTTGGCCTAAAACTTGCCAGGCAAACTCCATAAAGAAAGCTCTCCGATTTTCATTAGCACATCTGGCTTCATTTCCTTATCCCCTTAAAAGAAAGAGACATCACTTCCCACGTAAACAACACCCCCACACCTTTAGAGATTCTGGACATCTTCTTAAATTTGCCATTCACTGATTAATCACTCACCACAAGTTCACAAGCCTTGCAATTAGTGAATCAATCTCATCGATCTTTCATCAACACCATGCCTAACCCCAAGAAAAATGCTAGCAAGGAAGCTACCAAACTGAGCAAATTATGGAAGGCACCCATTAGGATTCTCATCAAGGCCAGGGACTTCTACGTGCGGAGCCTGACCGATTGCTCGGGCCACATCGGGTATGGCAGCGTCATGGGCTGCCCGACTGGCCAGATCAACACCCTGCCCCGGAGCTTCAGCGTCAGCTCGACCAAGTCGGGCAGCACCGCAGCGGACGAGGACTTCCGGGAGCTTGTGAGGCTCGCCTCCCTTAGGAGCCTGAGCAACAAAGTCGGGTTGGACCTCACGAGGACACAGCATGTTGCCGGGCAGTCCCCAGCGGCCACAACAAATAAAAAGATGCCGATGGTGATGCCGAGGAGTTTTAGCACCGGAATAGGGAGGATCGACGAAGACAAGCCATGTGAATTCGGGGAGGATGGGACGGTGAAGGCGGATGTGTACACGAGAAGCCGAAGCTACGTGCCTTCGAGGAGAACTTCGGGGTTGGTCTGAGAACCGGAAACACTGAAGAAGGCGAAAATGGGGCTGCTTCATTTTCTCTATTTTCCATATCAAAGTTTGGAGGAGGTTTTTCTACTTTTCTTTTGATTTTCTTTCTTTTTCTTCTTGGGTTTTTTATCCAAAGGCAGTCCTATATGCAGCTGATATCATCACTAACTTGGTGCGTGGTGCAAGGCCAATGTTCTGTTGATCATTTGAGGAAAGTCTTGAGTGGCATGGTTATATTCCAGTTCAAATACATGGTGCTGGCGAGTTCTCTTTCTTCCCTCTCTGCTTTTCGTTGCCAATAGATATGGACCGTTCCAGCTCTTGATTTGAACTTCGTCTTGATCATTCAATGGCATCATTATATTTTAGAAGATCAACTTGCATGATCGGCTCGAATTCCCTAGACTCTAAAAACAACAGGCCCGTTTTCGTGTTGGTCAAGGGAAAACATTGTTCATCCTTCTCGAACTCAAGAGAATTGGTTCGATCACAAGCACCCGATAATTTCGAACAGAAGCATAACATCCGGCAAGATAAAGACCCTCTTGTACGAATCTTTGCCTCGCTTCTAGCTCAGGAGATGATTGGCCCCGAGAAGGTGGAAATTTAATAATTTGTTTCGTGTGTGAATACCCATATCTATTTTTGCAAGAATTCGTGCAATTAGTTGACCCCGAGATTAGTTGACCATCATGATGAGTTCTTCCTTCATTTTCATAGAATAGTAGGAATCAGTAGTGGAAGAAGGATTTTGCTTTCATTTTTCCCTTAGGGGGCCACTTGGTAGGTGGATTGAGCCTGTTAATTGCTTTTGAAAATGACAAAATAGGCCTATCAAAAAACAAATCTATGGCACTAGTCAAGGCATGATATGCTGCCACTTGATGAGAGAAGAAAACTGCTCTTGCCAATTCCATTTTTGTCAAAGTTTGAAGCTGGCGTGCTTTGGTTTGAGAGGAATCTGGACTCGCATGCCTACTTCACTAACAGATAATCATGCAAAAGCAAGCGAAATCCGATGGACGTGAATGGAAACAGCGGGGGGTAACAGTAACTGGTGGCAATCAAGTTTTGTGGCTTGCGAATTCGACTACTTATTGGTGCAAAAAAGAAAAGAAAAGAAAAGAAAAGAATTCGACTACTTCAAAGACCCACCACCACTCACGAGAACTCCAGGAAACTGATCTTACCATGACGACACTGTGAATGTGATTAGACTGGGAACGGAAACCTCTGGAGTACTGGAATTGGCTTTGCTACGTATCAATTTAGTCGGTCCCGAAACGACATTTTCCTCATTTTTCGTCCGCTAGAATTGCTTGGCCAGTCAAACTGTGCTTGCTAACTACACGAGATTTACTAGTGCTTCTTAAAATTTACCAGGAATGAACTCAGTTCTGCTTTTTGGGTGCTTTTAAGTAAGTGCTACCGTTAGGAAAACAAAAAATTTCGTGTTATCGCGAGGTCTCGTTTTTGCTAAATTTGATTTATTTATTTCCAAGAGGTTTAACTATTTAAGATATTGCCACACCCAATAGAGATTAATCGGCCTGTCACCTTCGATATAGCTGCTAAACATGCGTACGAGATAAATAGATCACTTATTTCTTAATTCATATTTGATGGGTTGAGTTGTTTTATGAGTTAGTTATATTCAGTAATTAGTTTATAAATGGGTTTAAAATGGTAAAACCTGAAATAATATGGATGTTAAATGAGTTCGCAACTTACTTAAACCCAATTTACTTCTTTGACTCTCTCTTCATTTTCTCTTACCCTCACTCGATCTCACGTTCGCTCACTCCGCGCTTTTACTTTAGTTTGTGTATGAGTTTTCCTAAATTTGATTAAATATAAAAGTGCTTTAGCAATATAAGTCAAATTTGAAAATAGGTCGATTTGAGTCGGATCATTTTCGACCCAACCCAACCCGCACACGGGGCTAGAGACAAAGGAGATTGAAACCCAGGTCCTTTGGGCAGACCTGCAGTTGTATGCCATGCGGGGCTTACACATGTGGACACGGCCAAGCACCGCTTCGGAGCATGCAAGATCTGTCCTTTCATTGCCTTCTCTCATTTACAAGCTCTTCACTCAGTGGAATCATACATAATAGGCATACAGAGACCGGTTGGGAAGAACAAAAGCACATTACAAATGATAGCCATGCTTCAGAGCGAATTTTTCAAGTGACTCTGTGTTTCCGTGCTCTTTCTCGATCTGCTGCTACTTTCTTCTGAAATCTCCGGGTCGGCCGTCGAGTCTCTGCCTCGGTTCGGACCTCTTCCGTTCGAACTAGAAACAGGGTGAGCAAATGCTAAGGTTATGAACTCTCAATCTGTAATTAGATGATCAAGTATATTCTATGATTTATGTGACATCACATGAGCAGGGTGGTGGTTTGTATCTGTCATTCATAACTCACAAGGTTGGCAGCATAAATAATTGGTTAGTTGGTGAAGAGGTTCTTGTCATGGCAAGAATTCTATTGCCTAACTACAGGAGCTAAAATCTTAAGTGACATATTAGCTTGCAAGTGGACCATTGAACTAGTAGGCCTCATTCACCAACCAATAGCAGACGCATCATTTACTATACCAATTTTTTCAATCAATCTCCGTAAGACCAGCATTTCTAGTGTTTTTTCCATGACTAAATTGAAACTCCCGTTACTTTTCATGGTTGTAGATACATAGGAGTGGATGAGAAGGATGATGTGCAACTCTTCTACTACTTCATCCCATCAGAAGGCAACCCCCAAGACGATCCCTTGGTGCTTTGGCTCACCGGCGGCCCCAGTTGCTCCGCTCTCTCTGGACTCATTTACGAGATAGGTGATTGAGAATTCGTTAACATTTCAAGCCATTTAGGAACAGGAAACTAGAAGTGGGATTAACATCTAGATTTAGTACCTAAACATCATCGCATTCCACCTGTTACTGTGCAACTTGTGGTAAATCCGACTCTCCTAGTGCTCGATCTTTCATTGTGTCAGACAATTTTGAGAGAAATTAAGCAAGCTTTATTCGCAGCTGAATGACGATCATTTCGAGGATGGCCCATATGAGTTTTGTGAATTGATCCTAAATATTGCCGATTTTTCTGCACATCTTTTCAAGTGAATGTGAAATGGCCTTGCATCAGCCAATCTGATCTATTGTTTGTTCCGGTTTAGGCCCCCTACGTTTTAACAAGACCAAGTATGACGGCAGATTACCATCCTTAATGCTGAATCCTTACTCTTGGACCAAGGTCCGTCAGAATCTTGGACTGCAAAATTTTCGTCGAATAATAGGGTACATTTTGGGCATTTCTTTTTGAAGTTTCTTTTTCATATTGCAGTCATGCCCGCCAAGAAATTACAGGTCTCCAGCATAATCTTTCTAGACGCGCCTGTTGGCACGGGTTTCTCTTATTCAACGAGCGTGGATGGTTACGAAACTGGAGACAAAGATCATGCTCGCCAGAGTCGTATTTTCCTGGAAAAGGTGCAAAGACCTCTGTACTTTACCACATTCAGCTACTGATATTGGGCATAAATAGAAGGTTGAGAGGTAAAAACGTGAGATATGGGCTGGAGACATTGCAATCACATAAGATCAAGTTTCATTGATGGATAGACCAGTTGAATTTGTCAGTTGAATAATTGCAAATGACGGATTTTCATAATATTTTTGGTATGTGACAGTGGTTGCTCAGTCATCCGAGTTTCATTGAAAACAACGTATATATCACCGGCGACTCTTATTCAGGCAAGGTCGTTCCGTTAATTGCTCGAGAAATATTAGAAGGTATACTCCATTTTCGTTGCCTTAATTCCTTTTCATTTAGTTTTCAGGCTAATGGCATCTTCTGGTTAAATAATGCAGCGAGTAACAACATTTTGCAGAGACCTCTGATAAATCTCAATGTAAAAGTTTCTGGCACTATAAGTTTGAGTCACTTAGGTCAATTTCATTATTTCCGTCTCCACCGGGTCTTGGATTAATTTTGTGAAGGCCCATAATCTGTTTCAGGGTTATCTGCTAGGAAATCCTGTGACAGATTCAGTATTCGACGAAGGTTCAAGAATTCCCTTTGCGTACCATAAAGCGCTAACACCGAAAGAGCTTTACGAGGTGATTCTCTTCGACTGTAGTTGCTCCTCTCTGTGGTTCCCATAACTTGTCACGAATCATCTTTGCTTTTCTAATATTCGCATACCAGTCAGCTAAAAGGAACTGCCAAGGAGAATATGTCCGATTCAACCAAACTCATCTTAAGTGTGCAGAGGATCTTCAAACTATCTCAGAAGTAAACACTTACTGATCTTTACTTTTAACTGGGAGCTTAATATTCCTAGGTTGTGTTTCTGTTACTGAATGACGGTTGTCTTCAACTTTCTTGGATCTTGCAGTGCACTAATAGAGTAAATAAGGGACACATTCTTGAGCCAAAATGTGATATCTATAACCCATCACACAAACTTCTTGAAAGTCGAAGATATATGGCAGAGATATATGAAGATACTTGGCAGGCGCCACCAGAAATCCCCGCATTCCATTGTCGGGTAATTACTTAAGGCTTGAGCCTGCTCTATAATGTAAAGTATACTTATGATGGCAATGATTTCATCCCTAGAACAGCAATATTTTGACCTGTTGTGCGACGTTTGGGCAAACGATCCTGCCGTTCAAGAGTCCCTTCACGTTAGACAGGTATGAGACGCTGTTTACTTTAGAAAAAGGATATCAAACAATGGCCTTACTGGTAACTGCATTATGCAACGATGGTCAGGGTATATTAAGGTCTTGGGTGAGATGCAACAGAAGCTTAGCTTACGCCCACAATGTCCGCAGCACTGTGAGCCATCACCTATATTTGAATAGCAGAGGATGCCACGCCCTAATATACAGGTTCCTTTGTCCCACGCTCTTTCCTTTTGTCCTTAGTATTACTACTTCAGCTGTACCTTCTTTCAAAATGATGTTTCGTCAGATCAGACAACAAAACGACCAATAACTAGGTAACGACTAAGGAACTGAAAAGGTTCAAGCATGTTGGTTAAATGTGTTTAATTGAGAAGATGGCTGAGACTCGATACGACCGAGCAAGATCCTGATTCGTTTCTCACGTGTTCTGACGGAGCGAGTATATATATATTCTACAGTGGAGATCAGGACATGGTAATCCCGTACTTGGGTACGCAATCCTGGATCAATACTCTTAATCTATCCATCGTGGATGATTGGCGGCCATGGATGGTCGGCGATCAAGTTGCCGGGTACACTCTGAATAAGCACACATTCTCAGATGGTTCTGAACTTTTTAACCAGCATTTTTCTTTTCGTTCTTCCTAACTGGTGTTATTTATGCTGCTTGAGCAGATTTTCGAGGGAATACTCAAACGGTTTTACTTTCGCGACGGTGAAGGTGAGCATCTGAAAACCCGAAAATTGGTCATTTACCGAAGTACGAAGCAGGTTCAATGGAATGTGAAGAAGTGGCATTTGCAGGGAGGAGGTCACACTGCTCCAGAGTACCTGCCTGAGGAGTGCTTTGCAATGTACAAAAGATGGATCCATCACGAGCCATTGTAACCAAGTACATTAAGTAAAGATGATCGCGAATAAAAGGAATAAGTGCACTTAAAGTCCTAAATCTTGTTGTAAAAGTGCAATTGAGTTCTAAAACTTTCAAAAAGTACAATCAAGTCCTAAAATTTATTAAACCAATGCAAGCAAAAATCCATTAACACCATCAATTTGTCTTGGCATTTTTCAATTAATTTCTCTTCCTTACGGGGCATTTTTTAATTATTTTCTTCTTTAAATCTTATTCAAATTAAATTAAAAAACTAAAAAAAAGGCTAAAAATTTATTTAAAATAAAATAAAATTGAAAAGAAAAATGCCGGACTTTGTCGGTGGGCCTCTGCTGCCGCCGTCGCCGCCGCTCATCACAAGAGGGGTCGATGGAGGTCACTGGCCCTGGGCCAGGGTGGCGACCCTCCCCAATCCTGAGCGAGGGCCGGCGACCCTCACTAGGCCCGGGCGAGGTTCGCCCAGATCTAGGCAATGTCGACCCTCTCCCAGGGCCGATGAGCCAAGCGAAAAAAAAAATGCCTAAGCATGTCGTAAATGGTATCGCAAGTTAATGTCACATGCACAAAGCCAATAATTGAATGCAGTACCGGCTCATTTTATAGGGCTTCTCGGTATCCATTCGGTTGAGGTTTCTCACCTTAGGATTGACTCGGTCGCAAGGACATCCCATTCCTTCGGCTTATGAACCGATGGTTCTACCTTCAAAAAAAGAAAAAGACAAGAAAAAAAAACGAAAAAGAAATCGACGGTTCTAAGATTCGATTCTCGTCTTGAGAAAGTCGGATTTAAACGGGCGTCGTGAAAATGAGTTGTGCTAACTCTTCATCGGACAGCCAGTTAATTAGGATCATGCCACTGACTTGCTAAAAAAAAATTATTCTTTAAAGGGTTAGTATCATGAAAAACTTCGAACCGGTAAACTAATTTTTTGATCATCAAAAATCCCAAACTGATACACTTATAACAATTTTACCCTCCGCTAATTTTTGTTAAATTTTACTGTCAAATTTCTAAGTTAGGTGACACGTGACTGACAGATGTACTAATTTAGAGTTTTACCTTTTATTTATCACAGACGTTTTTATTTATAATTTTTCGTGATATTAATTCAATTTAATGGAGAATAAATTTAATACAAACATATCAATTTGAGATCGGGGAGTTTTCGTACCGAACCGGAATGAACAGAACCGAGCGAGAGTCCAGACGCAAAGTCGCGCGCTCCGACAAATCCACGGGAGCTGATCCATCATCGGCGTGCAATCCAGATTCAGGTTCCGGCGCGCTGAAACAGAGGAGAGGGAAAGGGGGGGGGGGCATCATCATCATGATGCGCCGGGAAGAGAAGAAGCGCAAGTTCCACGAGGCCGTCCTCAACATGCTTTACCCTCCCCCACCTTCTCCTCCTAGCCCTCCTCACGTACAACCCTTCTCTCTCTCTCTCTCTCTCTCTCTCTCTCTCTCTCTCTCTCTCTCTCTCTCTCTCTCTCTCATGTTGAACCTGCAACTGCAATGACAGGCAGAGGGTGGAGATGGGGCGCAAGGCGCTGCATCCGGCGGGCTTCGAGGGGACAGATTCCCAGGTTCGAAGGCTTTGCGTCCGTGCCGAATCGCGATGTGTTCGGTCGTCATACGTGCTTTATCATGCAGTTGAACCCATGTAGCTCGACGGTGTCTTGACGTTTCTTGAACCGCAGATGAGGCGGGTGACGACGTTGGCGGTTCCCGGGCAAGTGACGTTGACCCTGATGGCGATGGCGGCGGATGTGGGGATCAGAAACTGACGAGAGCTCAGAGGAAGAGGATCCGCAGGAAGAAGCTCAGAGAGGAGACGGCCCGCCGCCGGAAAATCGTCGGGCCCTTGTTGCCTCCGGGCGGCGGTGGCGGGTGCAGCGCGGAAGAGGATGGTCCAGGTGACGTTGAAGAGGAAGGGGCGCCAGGTGTTCGACGAAATGCCGAGCTGGGATCTGACGACGTGCCTCGCGAGCGTGGTATTGGTTTTTCTTCCTTATCCGAGTACCTTTTTTTGTTTTTTATCCCTCTGGTTGAGCTATGTTCATTGGAATTAGATGAAGAGTTAGGTTGTCTTGGCGGAAATCAGACGTCGGTGTTTACCTGATCATGTCCTTTGGTTATGTTTAAGTTTTATTAGAATGAGATGAAGGGTTAGATGTTCTTGGCGAAAATCAGAGAAGGTCGATTGGTTTAGCTGATCTTGTTTAGCTTTTGGTTAAATGGAGGCCAGAGATTGCTAGGGATCGAGTCGAAACACGAGTGCGAGTTCTTTTTGCTCAATTCTGAATTGATGTGCATGATCTACGACGGCATACGTCACGTTTCATGCGAGTTCAACAACAGTAGGAATTAGCTATTCTTTTGCCCACTTGATAGACAATCGGAGAGTTCTCTTGAATTTTGGGGAGGAGAGTGTGGACTGAGTTTCTCTTCACTACTTTTGTTCTCATAGATCACTACAATGGGGGCAGTTATACATGCTATTTGAGAATACGATCGAGATGTGATCGCTAAGACAGTACACAGAATCTAACAAGAGTCTGGAAAATCCAAATTCCGCTTTAGAAATCCCAGGAATACAAAACTCTATGAGAGCTAGTGATTGGTTTTTGTTATTATTATTGTTCTTATTTTGGAATAAGAAATTCTTCCAATTTCCATTTTCATGCAACAACTTGAAAACGTGTTTGGTCGCATACTGAAAATTGTTTCTGGGTGAAAATAAGGAAAAATGCTTTCACATTTATGAATACAAAATGGAAACAAAAAGAAAGTAAGTTTTTGAGATTCTCTGACGAAATGAGAACATAATCTACTATTTGAATAAAACATACTTCTTAACTTGAAAGAAACACATTTAAACAGGTTTTCAAAATCTTTTTGCGAATCAGATTATGTATCATGAAACAGAAAATCGCTTTCATTGTCATTTTCACTGAAAAAAGAAAATTGACAGGGCCGTAAGATTCTCCATTTCATATTAAATCTGTACATTGCAAAATTTTCTTCCTCAATAATGAGCATGATTAAGCTCATAGTTTCTTTGTATGATTCTTTTGGGTAGGAGAAAAGATAGGCATCTGAGGAACATTATTCAATGAAACCTTGTGAAGCTAAAGACCGGGGCTGCTCGTGTTGTCTATTCAAATGATTAGAAAGCACTAGTTAAAGATCAGAACTTTTCAGTAATTTCACAGCTAAACAAGTGAGTTAGTATGTGCTAAGATTTTTGCATCCTTTCGCCAATATGCCATGTTTGCACCAATAAATAGGATCATTAGTAAAGACAGCCAGAGCAGCTTGCAACATTCAAGCTCCGTGACTATCAAGTTTTATGCACACTATGCGGCGGACTTGCATGAACCGGTTCGTTGACCAGGTCCAGAAAAGTAGTTTGCCCAATTTTCAGTCAGCTGCAGTTATTTCAATAAATAGGATCGTTATGTGACTTGGCCAAATAGATTGATCCCCTCAATCGAGATTGTACTATTTAGTCAATAAAAAGTTTCTGGGTTATGCATTAATATCTCACTATAGAACTTATCCCTCTTCAATTTCCCTAATTCTCTAGTAGGAATTTAGGCAGCTCTCTTTTTTGGATATGTAGTAATTTGGACAGTTATTCGACCCAACCAAGAATTGATACACATTGTGATGCGTTGTGGTTTGAATTTGAGAATTGCTGTTTTTGCAGAGGAGGCAGCTGCCTTTATCAACCAGAAGAGACTCAAGCAGAGGAGAGCAGCAAAAAGGCTAGCCCGAGACAGGTTGATATTACCTGAGCAACAGAACAGTAATCAAGGTGATTAGAACTTCTTATACGCAATCCTCATCCAGGGTTTGAGCATGAATTTGGAAAGCAAATGCAAGGTTGATATGGGAGTCGCCATTAAGTTCAGTAACATGGCGCATTCTTCTCGTGAGACCGGGAAATAGGACCTATAGGTCAGCATTGTTGTGGCACTAGGTGTTCTACAGAATAGTCGCGGGAAACATGGGCCCCAACCACAAAGAACACGGCAGAATTTCTTATTTCGTCTACCTAAGAGTCCCTAAGCAAGCCATTTTTTTGGAGGTGATGCTGTGAAATTGCTGAGAGGATGATATGAATGTGGGCTGTGCAATTGCATCATGCCCTAATGGTGTCATATTAATGCTGGCACGGATCTTTTGAATATCGTGTTTCAATGACCGAACACATGAGGGTCCAAGACTCCTGTATAAACTCTTAAGCTCTCCGATCTTAAGCAGACAGCACTGAAATTGGTGAGTCATTATTTCTGTTCGCAATTCATGGTGGGTCTTCTGGCCATTCGCAACCAAATTGTTACAAGCTTCACTTCCTAAGACGCCATCTTGCCTAAGTTCCACGTTTGACTCAACAGCAGCATTTGAACTTTGTGGGAATTCGTAACTTTTACAAATATAAAAGAGGATTAGTTAAATATGTAGGAGAATGAAATGATATTCTGTGTTCATTTTGATTTAGATGCTAGTTAGAAGTCCGCACCATCATATTGCTTTAAGAAACGGCGGGGTTGGCATTGTGCAGGGTGCACTAGTAAAGAAAAAGAATGGCTTTTTGATGTTGTTCAGTGAAAGAGGCATGATGCACATTTAATAGGGGCAGTGGGGATGAGCATGGGTTCGGGGTAAAATGGGGAACCAAACCAAACCAGCTATAGAAATTGGTCCGGTTTAAGGTTTTCGCCGTTAACAGTCCGGTTCTCGGTTCCAAAAAAAGTGAAACCGGTACTATGCGGTTCGGTTTTCGGTGCCTTTCTTTGTTTTTACCTTAAAATGATAATATTAACTCGTGTATGGAATAAATCCATTTGCTAAGGATAAAAATGATATGCGTGTCATCTTTTAAACCTTCCTCGTGCATAAGAGTTCCTTTCTCCTTTTTACCTCAAGCTGATAAAGAAAAGAATAATGTCAACAGCCATCCATTTACTTATGTTCGTAATTCAATACCACCTACTTTGGTTCAAAATAGTCTATGTACTTATTAAAAGGGTTAATACCACGAAAAATTCTAAACTGGTACATCATTAACAAATTTATCCAAAACTAATTTTTTGATCACAAAAAACTCCAAATTAATACATGTGTGACAAATTTACCCTCTGTTAAATTGGATTAATATCATGAAAAATTACGAACGGGTAAATCTGTGACAAACAGATGGGTAAAACCCTAAACTGGTACACTCATCAACTACCACGTGTCATCCAACTCAGAAAATTGACAATAAAATTTAATGAAAACTGTTGTCACTGATGTACCAGTTTGAGGATTTTTTGCGGTATTGACCCTTTTTCTTTGAGTTTTTTTTCAAATCCCCCTTCAACCATTGCTTCAATCACCAGTGCATGCTCTAATAGCATGATTCCTCCTATTTTCGAGAATTTCGTAAGTTATACATAATCAAAAAAAAAATATCGCGCAAAAAAATACACTTAAAAATTTGGCTTTTCTTTTTATACAATTTTTTGGACAAAAATGCCCTTGTTCCAGCTACCGGAAGAGTCACATGCTTGCCGGCCGATGAGATCATGCCCCTTACGCGAGACTGATTTGAACACTTCGGCCCTCATTTGAAACAAGATCCACTCTGAAACCAATTTTTTTTTTTTTAAATGATCCCACTCAATGCCTTCATTTGAAATTTTCCCTCTAATTTTAAAAAGAGTCATATTTTTCGGTGATGATACCCTATGTTCACATAATCTTTCACCGCGAGATTAAAATGCAATAAATTTCGGCCGTTCCATAAATCTCAGCATAACGAGTAAAAACAAAAATAAAATTTGTTTTTTTATGTCGAAAATATAAATATTAATTTGGACAATTGGTATTTCTGCTTTTTGAAAACTATATAGACCGCCCCTTATTTCTGCCCAAAATTTTCGAAATAGGGCCATCGCTCCTAGAGCTCTCGAACTCTCCCTCTCTTCACCTCTCCAAAACCCTAAACCCGAACTCTCATCTCTCTGTTTCCATGGCGGAGGTGAAGCTGTCGGAGACCCGGGACCTGACCCGAATCGAGCGCATCGGCGCCCACTCCCACATCCGCGGCCTGGGCCTCGACTCCTCCCTCGAGCCCCGCGCCGTCTCCGAGGGCATGGTCGGCCAGGCCGCCGCCCGCAAGGCCGCCGGCGTCATCCTCCAGATGATCCGGGACGGCAAGATCGCCGGCCGCGCCGTCCTCCTCGCCGGCCAGCCCGGCACCGGCAAGACCGCCATCGCCATGGGCATGGCCAAGTCGCTCGGCCTCGAGACCCCCTTCGCCATGCTCGCCGGCAGCGAGCTCTTCTCCCTCGAGATGTCCAAGACCGAGGCCCTCATGCAGGCCTTCCGGAAGGCCATCGGGGTGAGGATCAAGGAGGAAGCCGAAGTGATCGAGGGCGAGGTCGTGGAGGTCCAGATCGACCGCCCTGCGGTGGCCGGGGCGGCGTCGAAGACCGGGAAGCTGACGCTGAAGACGACGGAGATGGAGACGGTGTACGACCTGGGGGCGAAGATGATCGAGGCGCTGGGGAAGGAGAAGGTGCAGAGTGGGGACGTTATCGCCATCGATAAGGCGTCGGGGAAGATCACGAAACTCGGGAGGTCGTTCTCGCGGTCGAGGGATTACGACGCGATGGGGCCCCAGACGAAGTTCGTTCAGTGCCCGGATGGCGAGTTGCAGAAACGGAAGGAGGTGGTGCATTGCGTCACTCTCCATGAGATTGATGTTATTAATAGCAGGTAATGTAAAGAGCTCACTGCTGTCGTGTTGTTTATGGGTAGTTCTAAATCATTTCTACTAAGGATTTTAGCATTCGGAAGTAGCTTATTTCGTGATTGGGCAATTCGGGATTGTTTTGTTGGTGTTACATATCTATCAAGTAGAGCTTTTATTGTCTGATTGATATCTAGAAATTCCGAGACACTTGTGAGTTTATGAGATGGAGCCAGTGGAATTCGTCAAAATGGTGTCTTGTCGATGATAGGTTAATCTTCAGTTGCGTTTGTATTTCCACTTTTTGGGTGTTTAATGATCACATTATACTTCTCCAAAACAGTGGTATGGTTTTCAAGTATTGGGAAGCAGGTCGTGTTTAGATCCTTGCGAGCACTAGTTCATCTGCTTTTTGTTGGTTCCTAGTTTATGGTCCCTTTCTACGGCATTGCTGAAAATATTACAAATCTCCTTTCCATATTTTCGTTCAATCTTTCCCCGGATGAGTTGATTGTTTCATATTCTTATTGGTTCTATCCCTAGATTTTGCATTTGGGAACCAAAGTTCTGCCCCTAGATGAGTTGCTTCAAATTTATCTTTAACTGAGCTGAGGAGCTTTTCTTACCTGTTGCCTGGTCATTCAGATGCAAACTTTTCCTAAATTGGGGTATGTGGTCGATGGTGAGCTACTTTAGTTCATTCACAGTCCGATCAGGCTATGAAATTCACCTTGTCTCTACCCATTTAATATAGAAAGTAGGGCAATATGCTGTCTGGCAACTAAGGCGAATTCTGTGAAGTGGTGTTGCATGTGCAGACATTGTGTTCGCAATACTTTGCTTTTACTATATATCGGCATCTATATACAATGATTTTTTTTTTACCTCCTTTTCCTTATAGTTGTGCGCATGCATAATTGTTGTCGATGCTCCGACTGAATAGTTTTTGCATGCAAAACTTTGATGCTAGCTCCGACTTTATAGTTCAGCTTGTTTTTCATGCTGGTCTCGGATTGCAGGCATTAATTTAACTATGGTCTAGGATTTCAGTTAGTAATTTAACTCTATTTCTCCTGAACAATCCTTCTTTGCTACTCAATTTTTTGTATAATAGTGCTTCGCGTCTCCGTTAAATCATCTTTGCCTTATTTAATCTCTCAGAATACCTCTCTTAATTTTAGGACACAAGGATTTCTGGCTCTGTTCACGGGTGATACTGGTGAAATCCGTGCAGAAGTGAGGGAACAGATAGACACCAAAGTGGCAGAGTGGAGGGAGGAAGGAAAAGCTGAGATAGTGCCAGGAGTCCTCTTCATTGATGAAGTGCACATGCTCGATATAGAGTGCTTCTCTTTCTTAAATCGTGCTCTGGAGAATGAGATGGCTCCTATATTGGTTGTTGCTACCAACAGAGGGATCACCACCATTCGAGGCACAAACTACAAATCCCCGCATGGAATTCCGATTGACCTTCTGGACCGTCTTCTTATCATCACTACTCAGCCCTATACTGAAGATGAAATTCGGAACATTATAGACATTCGGTGCCAAGAGGAGGATGTCGAAATGTCTGAAGAGGCAAAGCTCTTGTTGACAAAGATTGGAGTGGATACATCCTTGAGGTATGCTATTAATCTCATTACGGCTGCTGCTTTGGCATGCCAAAAGCGGAAGGGGAAAGTTGTGGAGTTGGAGGACATCACGCGAGTCTACTCACTCTTTTTGGATGTGAAGAGATCGACGCAGTACTTGATGGAGTATCAAAGTCAGTACATGTTCAGTGAATTTGGTAATGCTGAGGAAGATGAAGCCAATATGATGATTTCCTGAGGTAGTCCCTCATCTGTAATGATTGACTGATGACGTAAGTTCTCGTTTTCACAAATGTTGAGCTGCTTGAAAACTGTGGTAGTTCTTTCTGTTTTTTTAGTCCAAAAACTGCTATAGCTTTAGAGATTCAGGAGTTGCATTTTTTTGCATGATCTTTCATTGTTGTAAAGTTAAATGAGCCCCTTTGGTCGTAACCCATAAGATTAGGTCAAGAAGCAAAACAGTAACGTCCTGGTCTTCTATCCTTGTGAAGAGAGGAGTTGTAAAAAGACAAAAAAGGAGAATCTTTACTCTTTACTAGCTTTCTGGGGTTCTGAAGAGAGTTCTAAAAGCCACTAGACATGGATAGTTGGCAGAAAATTAGAAACCTCGTTTCGCCGCAAAGTGGAACTTATCCTTCTACCATATTGGCACTTTATTGCTTCTCTTAGAAATGCCAAGCTTATTGATCATCCTTCTTTATCTACTATTGATATCCAGAATTCTCATGCAAACCTCGGGGCTGCCTGGATAAATTTTTTGCTCGATTTGTTCACTGGGTTTATGCCCTTGGAACTTATATCTGGAATGTTGTTGAAGCTCCCTAATCCAAGCTAATTTTGACGCCAGTCTGAATTAAAAAGCTTGTGCATTATTTTTATAAGCTCATGAAACCTCAATTCTGTTCCGATATGCATCGTACTGCATTTCCTTTCTAATGCTACGTTATTATCTCAAGTCGAAAGAAGCTTCTTCTCTTGTGTTTGGTTTCAATTTGATGCCCCAGATGGTTAGGTCGATAGTCTCTGTTCTTAATCAGGACTTAGTGGACGTGCGATCTGACAGTTAATATGTTCTGCTCATGCACAGAATGACTCTGCCATAGAAATTCCACCTTAATTGCACAGTGGATTCGAACATGTTATTTCTGACAATGGTTTCCAGCCTATGTTGCTCGATGTTTTTACCTTGTCGACCTCGGTCGGATCCAAATGTGGGCAATGCTTGGACTGTAGGCATAGCAGCCTGTAGTTGTATTGATTTCTGGATGTGCCGTTTACCTTCAAAATTCATGTTCTCCGTGTCTTTTCTCTCATCTCTTCTCCTGTGCAAAACAAATGTTATGTGCCAATCGAACTTGTTTTGCGAGAAAGTACTTTTTTGCTGAAGTACTTTGTTTTGCGACAAAGTACTTGATAACTGGAATGACTGCCCTTCGTAGTCCTAGAAATTTTCCCATTTATACCATAAGCCTTCTTTCTTAACTTCCTTATCTCGCTTGTTTAGAGAAGAAATTAATGGAAAGGAAAAGAACAGTGAGAAAATGAATCGGTTACTGGGGAATTAAAATAAAAAGGTAGGGTACCCATGTGACTGTGTGACCTATCAATACAAAGTCTTTACTACTACTACTTTTTTATTTTTTATTTTGAGAATCTTGACGACTACTTTAACCGTGCAAGTATGGCATAGGCAATGGCCAATTGGTCATCAATATACATCCATTAAAATGACATTTTTTTAGCTTGATATTTAAAAGGAATAAGTGCACTAAAAATCCTAAAATTTATCAAGAAAGAGCAATTGAGTTATAAAACTTACAAAAAAACGCAATCAATCCTAAAACTTATTAAGTCAGTGCAATTAAAATTTGAAACTTGTTAGTATATTTTATTGGTCAAATTGGATGGAGTTAATAAGAAGACTTGATTGTGCTAACTTGATAAGTTTTAAAACTTGATTATACTTTTTGAAAATTTTAGAATTCAATTGTTCTTTCGTGACAAGTTTTAGGACTTTCAGGATACTTATCCTTACTTAAAACTTGTTAGGAAATCAAGAAAGTGTATTTTGCTTTTCGGCCTTTTGATTAATGCCGAAGAAGTATGCCCTAAATTAAGCACATCCAAGTGGCCCAATCCACAGAATACCAAAAGCTCATCCAAGCTTGGCACTTGCAGGCCTAAAAGCTGGACCAGACTAGAGGAGATAACGGGAGGCATTGAACACTCTGCTTCTGCAGTCAACAGAAACACAGGTCACGCAGCTCTTTTTTCTTGCTAGGTAATAAATCAGGATGACCAAAAAAAAAATATTACTGCCAAAATAGATTAAAGTTCTTTATTGCCCACACTAGGTAATAAACACAGATCGGCACTTGCAGGCCTAAAAGATAAATGTCTTGTTAGCTAACATATCCTCAGTATATATGGTATATGGGTATGACTATGAGACTCAAAAGAGTTACCAAGAGAGCTAGACATATGTAGGCCTAACTTCCTAAAAAATTTCTAACTTTAGATTCGATCCCAATCCTAACCCAAACTTTTTGTTGTCTAATAAATTTCCCGACTTTCACTCTAGTCTCATATCTGTCCATGCGTCCAAAAATCGCTACCAGTTTCTTCAAAATTATCAACATCGAGGCCAGTTAGAGGTACATTATCGGTACATGCGTCTTCATCAACAACCTCACATTCGTATGGAATAACAGCAACTCCCTGATATTGATAATATTGAAGAAACCATGGTGATTTTGGAACGCGTGGGGTTTGGGACTAAAGTAAAAGTCGAAAAAATATTTTAGACAAAAAAAAGTTTGAAGCAGAATTGAAATTGGATCAAAACTTGAGGTTTTTTTTTTTTTTGGGGTAGGATCAGCCGTACATATGCTCTAATATTGCGATTATATTTTTGAAAAAAAACCTAAATCAAAATAAAACAAATCGTAGGTCGGCGGTCATAATCACCAGGAGGGTTGGACCATATCTCTAGGAGAGCAACATTTAGACTCAATATAGGATCATTCTTAGTCTTGTCCCGCAGTAATAAGAAAGCGACCCGTCATAACAAACATTGATTATAAAATCTACGAAGCAAAAAAAAGAAAATGAAAATTAAAAAGGGTTTGGTGTCAGCCCAGCCTGTCTAATTTATGCCTTCGCCGTACGTAAACACACGATGCAAATTCGAGAATCTAAGTCTGGGCCACTTAATAATGCAATCTAGAAGAAAGGCCAATTAATTAAATAATAATTAGGATAATAAAAAAGATTAGAGACACAATAATTGAATATATACAGAATGTTCGGCAATCAAACATAACGCTAATTTCGCTAACACCACGATGGTTCATGGAACGGGGTTCTCGAAAGCCAGGATTCATCCACCAATCATGCACTCAATTTGGGAGGCAAAAGGGGTCATGTATCATTAGCCTTTAGTGCCTAAAGGGAGGAAAAGGAGTAGTGAATGGAACAGAAGATTCATCATGAAAGGCAGTCAAAAGAGATTCAATTAGTCTTTGAATTCAAAATCGAAAGTTAGAGAATGATGATGAACACATTTGAAGTGGGGTGACCACTTTAATCGTGTATGGAAATCTGTAAATGGTTTTATGTCAGATGTGTTTATGGTACGGCACGTGAAATCCGACCAATGGAGCCATCAAAAGCTTAGACTAATAAAGTGAGGGAGATCACGTTCCGTAGAAAAATGCGGATACTTTAACAAGATGAAAACTCGATGTTACTTTTGAACCCAACAGGATTTCTGGATACAGCATATTCGAATGAATTGATTAATTAACTTATTACGATACCGATAAGGCATGAGAATTTGTGCTTTTCTTGGGGGGTCGGACTAATAAAGTGTTTTTAATATGTAATCAGCTTGAGTTAGTAGACCAAAAGCTGGACAAGTTTTGTAAAATCTGAGGTTATGTGATGCATGCTAGGCTACACACTTTGCCAGGAGTACCATGTTTCTTGGTTGCTGAATCAAAGCTTAGCTTGCTTGGGCTGTGAATTCCAGACCAACCCCTTCGTTTCTTTCTGTCTTTGAATTCCATTAATTTAATGAAACACCTTCATGGAACCGACAAAGACTCCATTATTAAGACTTTTTGTCTATAGAGAGGCAAGGACACAACAAAAAACTCTTAAGTCTTATCAGATACGAGACTTCAAATTAATACTACATTTAAAAACTCTAAACTGGCACTTTATACTGCATTTACTTCAAATTAATTTTCGTCTCACAAAAAACCGAACGACCACTCTTGATATCCAAATCTCTTTGTTAACATTCCATTCGAAGTCTTATCAGTATTCATCATGTGTCAAACGATTGCCAAGGCAGGGCTAACATAGAGAATGATAAATTTGACGTGAAAAAATCACGTGTCTTGTACATTTGAGATTTTCTAGCTAGACGAAAGTCAATTTAGGTTAATGTGTCACATAAATAGCAGTTCGAGATTTCTTGTGGAACGAAAAATTAATTCGAGGCGCCCGTTTCATGGTACCAGCTTGGAATTTTTAACGGTGTTTAACTTTATCACGTAACAAGAAGCCATGCGTCGGGAATCAAACCCGAACGGAAGACGAACTGAATTAGCAAAATCGATTCGAGGCACTCGTTTCATGATGCCGGTTCGAAATTTTTAATGGTATTTTAATTCGGTCACGTAACGATGAAATTTTTTAAAAAACAGGAAGCCCCCGAGTTGGGAATCGAATCAGTGGGAATAGAATAAGGAGACGAACTAAATTAGCAAATCATCCCGACGTTAAATTAAAAAAAGAAGAAGCAAGAATAAGAGAGATAATAATTAAAAAATTAGGCCAAGCTGATTTCTAGAAGACAAGGCAAAACCTTAGATTAATCAACAACCGATGTCGACAAGTACGCTCGCCCACTACTGACCCAACAAAGATACTTCTCCCTGCTTCTTTTCGTTATTTTTTTTCTTTTAACCTATTTGTACTGTTCTATCTTCTTCTACTTTTTTGCCTTCATCTCGCACCCTAGCCGCCGCCGCCGTGTCGCTGCCGCCGCCGCCGCCGCCGCCGCCGCGTGCCGGTTAACCGAACGGGACGGGCTTCACGGCGTCGGAGTCCATGAGATCCGGGCGGACGTACCCGTACCGGCGGAGTACCTGGTTGTCCGCGAAGTTCAGCGCCTTCACCATCCCGTCCCAGCACGACTCGCCGGAGTACATCTGGTTGTGGTCCCCGCTGCACGGCTGGCACCCGGTGAAGTGGGTCACGAACGGCCTCCGCCTCCGCGCCGCCTCCGCCTCGGCCTCCGCCCGCCGCGCCGCGTAGTATCGGCTCGCCTTCTCCGCGTGCCTCCGCCGCAGCGCCTGGGGTCCCCGCCGCTCCAGGTCGTGGTGCTCGCGGGTGATGTTGGGCAGCGTGCCCACGATCTCCTCCCAGTAGCCCTCGAAGTAGTACTCGCTCTCGACGTAGATCTTGTCGCCGTACCGGTCCTTGTGCGTCAACAGCAGGTAGACCAGCGCGGACTGGTCGTCCGACTCCGGGAATAACTTGTCGGCCAAGGTGGAGCGGAGGACGTGGCCCCACCGCTCGTACTCCGGGCTCTGCGGGCCCATCCCGGCCCACACGTCCATGAAGTCCATCGACCACTGGCAGTTCCGGATGAGGAACACGCCGGCGTTGATGCTCGTCCAGCTCTTCTTCTCGTAGATCAGGTGTTGCCAACCGTGGACGACGAGGTTGTGGCCCTTGTACCGATCGAGGGGGAGCTCGAAGTCCATGTCGCTGAAGAGGGCATCGGAGTCGACCCACCAGATCCACTCGGCCTCCGGGTGGGCGACCATGGCGGCGCGGACGACGGGGTACTTGGCCCAGTAGGAGAACATCCGGGGCTGCAGGAGGGCGTTGTTGTAGAAGACGTCGCAGCCGTGGAGGCGGCAGTAGTCCACCTTGTTCTTGAAGAAGCGGAGGAGGAGGTGGTCGCCGATCTTGTTCTTGCATGGCGCCGGCTGCGACCCCGTCACCAGCAGGACCCGCTCGCGTCCGCCGGAGGAGGAGGCCGCCGCCAGCGACGGGTGCTGCCGCAGCCACTCCAGCCGCTTCTCGTCCCAGCCCCTCACCGGCCTCCCGAACGAGTAGCTCAGCTCCGGGTCGTCGTAGAAGTTGCCGCTCTCCTCCGAGTCCTGGTGGGGCGGCGTCGCGGCGGAGGCGCATTCCGGCAGGGCCTCGGAGGAGGAGGAGGAGGAGGCGGCGAGGGTCTGGGAGGGGGTGGCGGGGGGTAAGGAGAAGGAGGAGAAGGACCAGACGAGGAGGAGGGCCATGAGGACGCCGCCGAGGAAGAGGCAGCCGTCGCCGAAGCAGAGGGAGGCCCTGTTGCGGAGGAGGCCGTGCTTGGCCATGGTCGCCTGAGACTCGGGGGACACCATTTCTCTGAATCCCGTAATCACGCCTCGGCCCTCGACTAGTTGGTTGGGTCGCGGTCGTGGTCCTCTTGCGCAGTGGCGTGGCAAATGGTGTGCGTAAAAGAGGCTGGAGGAGCTTTTTGGAGGAGAGGGGAATTTGGCCGAGGGTGCTTGCGTTGATGTAGGGGGGAAGGGGGTGTGTGCGTGGGAGTCAATTAAGGGGTCGATTTTGCTTTCGCTCTTGTCGACTGATAAGGAGGTGGGGAGATGGAGACAAGCCCGGCTTTTGAATGTTTGTTTCCGTGAACGAGGAGGGGGGGTGGTGTGGGGGAAGCGGAACTGGGAAGTGGGAAAGCGTCGGTTTGGTGCGCCGGTACGGCTAAACTGCGCCCCGGTGGTGTTGGTGGTGGCGGTGGGGTCTCTTTGCTTGTGCGGGGAGGGGAAAAATAATTGCTGCGCCCCAAGGGCGGCACGTGGGCCCGGCCGATCTCCACCGCCGGATCGCGGGAGCCGTCCGTGGGGCCCGCTTCATCCAGCGGTCATGGTCGAACGGGCTCGCGTGTACCGGGGCCGCGCGAGAGAATTGCTCGAGAGAGAGAGAGAGAGAGGGTAGTAGTGTTGGGGAGGGAGGGGGGGCTTTCGATCACATACGATGGGACCCAACGGACATGCGCTTTGCGTGTTGGTGGGGTTGGATTCTGTGGTCAGTAGTACACGTGGACGGGAGATCGACCGACACGACACCGTTTTGGGCGAACTCTTGGCGTGCCTTTAAACATCTTTTTCTTTTTCGGAGCTGCGCGCGAAATTCCCGTGCTTTTGTCGGGGGTTCCGAGCTTTACTTCGGCTGCGAGACTCCCACTAATTACGTTGGGAGTTGGAGTTGGACCAAACAGAGACTAAACTTCCGTGAGATTAGTTTTTCTGCTTTTTTTTTTAAAGATAATATCGCGAAAAATTTCAAATCGATAAACTTATGAAAAATTTGCCCCGATTAATCTTTTGACAACCGAAAATCCCAAATTGGTACACCCGTGATAAATTTATCATCCGTTTGTTCCCTTTAAATTTTACTATCAACTTGCTGAGTTGGATAATATGTGGCAGTTGATGGGTGTACCAGTTTGGGGTTTTACCCATCCGTTTGTCACGGGTTTATCTATTTGTAGGTTTTCGTGATAGTAATGCAATTTAACATAGGATAAATTTGTTACAAATATACTAGTTTGGGGTTTTTTATGATTAAAAAATTAGTTTTTGGTAAATTTATTACAGGTATATCAGTTTGGAGTTTTGGTGGTCAAAAAATTAGTTGGGGTAAATTTATCATAAATGTACCAGTTTTGGGTTATTCGTGGTATTAACCCATTTGTTTTCGAGCACTATTTCTAATCCTTAAATGATTAAATCGTTTGACCAAATTTTTTTTTACAAAATCCATCCCATTTTCCACCAAAAAGATAAAATTGACATCAGTCTTTCAATTGCCATTTAATGTGATGGCAAGTGTATAGATATAGAAAAACAAAAAAAAATAGAAAAGTAAATAAATTTGGGATGAAATTTCTCTTTTCGGCGAAAGGAACTTTTATGGAAGTAATATCTTACAATAGAAAAAGAAAATATATAGCGCATTTAATATACATGGGAAATCCACAAGAAACGAAAAACTGAACATGTGCAATTCTTCGTTAGGTAAGTAGATCCTATATAGATATAGAAAAACTAAAAAAAATGGAAAGTAATTTGGGAGCACCATTTTAATTTGGGGCAGCACTATTTCCACTCCCGTTTTGGCTAAAACACTCCCTTTTTAAGTTAAATAACCGAAATACCTTCCTCTCTCTTCAATTTATTGTTTCTTTTTTTATCAAGCTAATACAAAAACGAGCAGCACTATTTCCATTTCCATTTTGGCTAAGACTCTCCTTTATTTAGTTATACGAAAAAAATACCCTCCTCTCTCCCTCTTTCTCTCTTCAATTTATTGTTTCTTTTTCCGTTAGATTAACCGACAAAATTGCCTTTATTTCTGTCATTTCTTTTGTTAGTTTCACAATACAAAAACTCAATTATTCCCAACAAGATATCATCTTATCTTGCATTTTGTTATCACTTTGCCTAGAGAAGTTTGTTAATTTTAACATATGATATCATATTTTTAATCAGAAAAACTAGATAGATTATTATAAATTTCCATTTATGAAGGCTATAAGGCATATGAACACATAAGTAATTGCCTATTTTTTATCAAATAATTTGAGCGACATTTTATTTCAAAGTTGGAAATTAAAATTCAATCTATATATCTAGCCAATCTTGACATTGTAGGTGTTTTCTGTAATAAATTTGTGGTGTTTTAAAGTTAAACATTTTAATTTGTATTTCAAGATGGGGTTGAGAATCTTATTACACATTCTTTACTTTTAAGCTAACATCAGCTTATTATAAATGAAAGTTTTAAACATAAACATATTTTAAAATTTTGATCCACTTGCTATTCGATTGAATTTATAACCGATATTACTTACTTTCTTCATGGTAGGAGTAGAGTAACAAGAAGTTCCCTTTTTTTCCTTTTTGTGCTTTTTTTTAATATTTAGATATGATCTAAACATAATCATATTTAACATTTGATTATTTTCCCATATTTTGATGAATTTTTCTTTTCCGTTGTTGATCAAAATTGGACAGATAATTAGATTGAATTTTAAGCTTCAACTTTGAAATATAGTCTTAAACTATTTGATTAAAAATAGGCAAATAATTGTGTGCTTATAAGCCGTCATATATATATATATATATATATATATATATATATATATATATGTAACTTTTGTGATTAAAAATATAACACAAAAAATAAATTTAATAACTTTCTCCTAGTAAAGTGAAATAATGCATGATAAGATGATATTCTGTCGAGTATAATGGAGCATTTGTATTGTGAAACTCAAAAGAGAGATGATAGAAATTAAGGCAGTTTTTTTTTATTAGCTTGATAAAAAAAATAATAAATTGAAGAGAGAGGAGGGTATTTCAGTCATTTAACTGAAAAAAGAAGTGTCTTAGCCAAAATGGGAGTCGAAATAGCGCCACCCTTTAATTTGCAATTGAATGATTAAGGACAAGTTTGTCTTTTTGGTAAAAACTAGGTGGATTTGGTCATTTAGGGGGCGGAAATAGCGCCACCCATTTTTTTTTTTTTGGGTCAGGTGAAGAGATTAGTTCGAGAAAATTCCTTTCATGTAGACTTTTTAGTTTAAATAGGTTTTAAAAAAAGATTTTTTTTATTTTAAATAAATTATAATGTGTGTGTACATATATATAATTTATGGAATTCTATTTTGCCTTCAAACATTAGAGCAAACAAAGTGTTAAAGGTTTCTTGTCTTTGTGAGTTTTTAAAGTGAGTTTTTGCGAGAGATTGTGAGATAGCACTTATGGATTATATTTTGAGTGTAATTTACGATTTAAAAACATTTGAGCAGATTGTGGATTTTGTAATCTATGAATCCATAGTGAATTTCATAACGACTCCGTGAAGTAGATCTCGACATTCAAACTAAACCACGGAAATCTCCCGTATTCTTATAGTTCTTAGTTGATTTCTCTAGTAACTTCTTTTTTTCTTGCATTAAACTTAGATTGTAAAATCCGTTAACTTTTGCGTTATTACATGCCAACGACCATAAAAATAACCAATCAAAGTTTTATTGTATGAGGCCGGTAGGAGCTGGCTGCGGGAATTATTTTCATTTCATTGCCTTGGGTTCGTCTGGTTCTTTTGTTGGACGTGCGCTATCTTTTCTTATTTTCGGAAATTCAGACACCCAATTATTCCAAGCATGTGTTCTCACCAACCCAACGTGCCACCACATTGATAAATGAATGCTCCAAAAAAAAAATTAAGGATTATATTGCGAAATAGGACATAGGTTAAACGACCAAATTCATGTTTGAACCTCGAATTTATTAAAACAAACTTGGTAGGAGATGTGATCTGACTCTTTAGATCAGTTGACAATGCATCCACGCTGGTCACGAGGGTCGTGATCAAATCCGCGCGTGCAACAAACTATGAACTTCCCAAAGAAGTTTGGCAATTTTTATGCACGATGAAATGCAAAAAGCGTGACTGTCCTTTCGTTTTCAAGTAGGTAAGTGATCATTGACGTTTGGGAATGGAGATTCTCTGTTCCCGATCTCAAACGCTCTCCATTTCTCTACTTCTTTCCTTTTTCGGAAAAATTGTCCAAATATATCTAAACCTATTTGCATTTTTGGCAATTCAGTCCCAAATCTTTTAATTTTATCAATTGAGTCCCAGACATTTTCATATTTTTCTAATTAAGTCCATCTGGCCAATTCAGCCATAAATCGCTGACGTGGATACCGGCCGTCCTACGTGGAGCGGCCGGCGCTGACGTAGACAATCTTTAATTTTTTAAATTGACGTGGATTTAATTGGCAAAATATGAAAAGGTTTAGGACTCAATTGATAAAACTAAAAGGTTTAGGAAAATATTAAAAATTATCCACGTCAGCACCGGCCGCTCCACGTGGGACGACCAGCGTCCACATCAGCGATTCCCGACTAAAATTAGCCGGATGAATTCAACTAGCAAAATGTGAAAATGTTTAGAACTCAATTGAGAAAATCAAAAGATTTAATACTGAATTGGCAAAAATACAATAAATTAAAACTTTTTAGATAATTTTTATTCCTCTTTTCTATTATCCATTTTGCTCACTTGACCCCTGTCGACACGCCTCGAACCACCCATCAACAATGACGACTGGGACTTTCCTTCTGACATTGTCATCGCTACTTGCTTCCATCATCGGTGTTGATTCGATAGCTTCCAGTTCCATGTACGGGAGCTTCCAAATTCCATGTGAAACTTAGGAATTTCAAATTTAATTTCCATTCCTAATTTAATTTCTAAAGTTTGGGACTAAATTGACGTCACCGCCGATCATGCCACATAGACCGACCAACATCTGCATTAGCGATTTCCGAATAAAATTAGCTGGATGGACTAAATAGGCAAATTGTTAAAAGGTTTAGGATTAAATCAATACGTCTATGTTAGCGTTTCTGAATAAAATTAGCTGGAGGGACTAAATAGGCAAATTATTAAAAGGTTTAGGATTAAATCAATACGATTGAGAAGTGTAAGACTAAATTTGCCGCCGGACAATAGATTTGGAAGACTTATTTGACAATTTCCCTCAAATTTGTGGTTACGACAAATTGAGACTAATATATGAAATGTAATACAAAATGATTTGACATTGTTATTGATTGCTTTACATAATCAATATACTTAAATGTCAACTTATGTAATTTGCCCATCAACTAACATATCAACATCCAATCTCCACATAATTGAGTATAGCGATTGATTACGGCATATGGAGACTAATTGACCTTCGTTCCAAGTCCCACGTGCAATGTAATGAGAGAATTCGGCGAACTTGCAAGCACGTAGAGATTGGCCCTCCAAAATTGACCACTTTATTTTTTGTCAGACAAAAACGAACTTCATTACTATCTTAAGAGAGTTCGAGTACATAAAACGGGATTCCGAACACAATAAAGCCCAAAGAGCATGAGAGATTAGACAACCGATTATGAGGCAGGGATCCACACCGATATGGGCTTTTGCCAAAATTGACCACTTGAATACTCATTTAGGAATGTCGGTGGATTTGGGATTAACTCTATACCGAAAGATGTCGCCGCATGGCCTTCGCGGTGTGGAGGCCACGCAACACACATGGTGTGTCGATCCGATGAAGTGGTGCTTTTCGAGACCATGGCATCAGGGCAAGGGGGTCCATGGTCTCTCGCATTGCCCGGGTCGTATGAGTGACTTGCTATACTATAGCTGCTGCTCTAAAGATGATGGTAGAGACAAAACTAGTTTGTGACATCCCAAGTCCATGGAAGTGAACTTAAGGTCATGAGTACTTCTTCTAAGGTACTTTGCTAACATTGATTCTCGGCTTAGGTCATTACATCATTGTGTACTTGTACTTTTCCTTTAGAATATTATGAGATAGCTATCGCACCCACATGTAACATGTAAAGCATTACCATAATATATGAATCTCGGCCTAATCATGAGTGGGGTCATTATTAATAGGAGAAATAGAAAAATTAGGAGAAAATTGCTCAACAAGTCTTAAATCTTATGTATGAAATGTCATTGAGTCCTAAACATTTCAATTTGCTCAATCGAATCGTAAACTATAACAACAAAAAGAATGCAATTGAGTTCTAAACTTGTCAATTAGTTCAATTAAGTCCAAAACCGTAGACTTTAGTTCGTCCTTGGAAAGTTTGCATCAACCTTAGATGGGAGGTAAAGAGATAAAATGAAATGAACAAAGCTAAACGGTTCCTACCTAAAAGATAAAGTTGTAACTTCGGCACTCGGGGGTGCAATTCTAGACCTGCCATTGATGCATGAGAATGAGGTTTTTATCAACTGCTGAGATGGTCATTTTGAGAGATATTGGTTATGTATGATATCAATCATATTAAACAATATATTGACCCTATAACTATAAGACGTCACGCAAAATATGCCGATCAGATTGTGATTGGCATGAGTTTTGCCAACAGCAGGATTGACATGTGCGAGATTGTTGCTGGCGAATGTTGGCATTAAAATTTGACACGTCCAGCATAGACGGCAGGCATTGAAGAGGGGAACCAAGATTGATATGTTACAAGCGATTAACGTCATGACATAAGCAGTCGGCATACACGTGGCGCAAGTGGTTGGTAGACACATGATAGAAACGCCTGGCATACAAGTGACATCGGCTAGTATACACGTGGCAAAAGTGGCTAGCATGACGTCAAATCGGCTAGAAGTGTTAAAAAAGTGCAGGAACGGTAATCTTCTTATCAACCGCAATCCTCAAATTATATATAGGCGATAGAGATTGTGGTCAGACACATAGTAGATGCGGATTGGCATACATGGCAAAACTGTTGACGTGAATACCAAACTCGTTACCAAAAATTGATACTAGCTGCGTCCAAAACGTGGGGAGCACATCTACAACGTTGGGAACACATTTGGAACGTGGGGAACTTGCCCAAAATGTGGAGAACGAGTCTTAGAATGTGGAATTGAGATTCTAAATGCTCATAACTATAGAGACAAGCACAACGCGGGGGGGCGTGTCCAAAACTTGAGGAACAAGTCTTAAAATGTGAAAGTGAGGTCCTAGAGGCTCATGGCTATATAAAAAAACATCTCAAGTATGAAGAAGGACATGCACACTCAACAAAATCGCAAGATTTTACATTTTTTATCTACTCGTTTTTCTGTTTTTTTTTTTTGCTAAACTCTTCTTCTTGTGAATTCAATTTGAGCTTGTGCTGTTGGCTTTTAGTTCTGAGTCATCCTTGAGCTTGATTACCATAGGGAAGTCTCAAATGAACCTAAGACCAATCAACCATAGGCCAATTTTAACCCGCTAGATATTATAACCCCCGTTTAACTTGAGCTGTAGATGACTCGCTATAACGTTTTCACGAAGAGTTTGACACAACGGTTTCAATTTCATGCATATTACAAGGATGAGCAATAGAAAACCCCTTAAAAATTATACAGAAAGACACGTGACACGGCTGAAAAGCGTGTATAAGGACAGAGACTCTTGTATGGACCTGATTCAACACGGGATCATATCCGTCACCAACCGAACAACAACAGCCGCTGGATAAAGTTAGGTCCATACGATACCTACATCATCAATGGTTAAGATCGAACGGTTAAGACCGATGCGGTTGATGCTAAGGGAGAATCTACCATGAACAAAGGGAGAAGTGCATGAAGAAACAGGGAGCCCACAACAGCGGCGGGTGAAAACAGATCCACATGCCTGACTGACATGACAATGGCCTACATTAACCCAGAGACAAACTAGTACTAGCTTCAGACCGGCAGACAAATCACTATCAAATATAGGTCGTCGGACACTGGAGGAACATGCCACTTCCCTCCAATTTACGATTTGGAAAATGCTTCTCATTCCAACTCAATGCTCTGGAAAAACAAGCACACCAATTCACAGGTAGTTTTCACCATTGATGCCAGATCAGGAAATTTACCATCAGAGAGAGAGAGAGAGAGAGAGAGAGAGAGAGAGAGAGAGTAATTCTTGTTCACATGGAAGAAAGTAATGCTTAACATGCTGAGAAATTACAATTTCTTGCTAAGTAGAACAGCCACCTTCATATGGTGACAAAAAAACCCAAATACAGCATGGAAGACTCTACTCGTGCTTACTTGTTTTTTCGTCTACTTGCTTGAAACAAAGGAACTCCCAGGTTTACATGTTGACTTAGTTTTGCTTAGTTTTACAGAGAAATCATCGACAGGAGTCAAATACATACAGAGCTCCTCTCTTTTACTAATGCACCATCTCCTCATCCCGGGTTTAACATCCTTGCAGATCCCGCCATCTAAGATAAACCAAACCTGCACGATAGTGTGCGTACGCGCCTGCCACCACCAATACATGGAAGAGTTGATGACTATGTCCTGCAATATCGAATTTTCCGGGCATCCACCTCTCTGGTATCCTCATGGCATAAACAAGAGCTCCGAGACCATAGAATGCTCCCATCAGAACCTCGTACCCGGTAGTGTGGAGGGCCTCAGGGTGGTGCCAGAACAAGATGAGCTTGTGCAGGATAGGCGCTACTCCAGAGAATCCCATCCCGAAGAAGAGCGATGCCCGTATTGTGCGGAACTCGGGGTTCTGGAAGACTGGCAAGAGGGAAAACAAGATAGTGGCTATACCCAAAATGGTTATGAATCCCATGTAAAGGTTGCAGAAGAAGGGATTGCACATGAACGAATAATAAACGGGTGGGTAAAATGAAGTGGCTATAAGAGCAGCAATTCCGGCATAATCAAGCCTGAGCATGATGTATGACAAGCGCTCAGAATGGCACGATAGGAGGTGGCATGTGCTGCTGGCTAGCAAACAGAACATTGCCCCACCCATAAACACGAAAAAGGGCCACCGTGTAATGGGTCTGGTCACAAGTGGAGCTATCATGTTCAGCACATCCTCTTTCATACTCCGCTGAAAACAATCGGAGCATTAAAACAGATTTTGATCGGGGAACATAAAAGGATGTATAAGAACATTTAATTGCAAGTATTAAAACAGGGAGTATGTGCCAGGTTGCATAGATACATGATCAATTTTACGAAAATGCATAGGCATATACGCGACAAACTCAGCTAATTACAAAAGCAAAAGATATAGCTGATAGCATACAAATTGCAATCATTATTAGAAGACTATTGGAAGCCTGCCAAATGCAGCACTTCGTTCTTGTGCCGCAGAAGATGCCCAGTAACTGAAAGATGGACAGATTGTATCCGCAGATATACAAATGAAGTACTATTTTACATAATGAGCCACGAGCAATATACTTTTCTCGATGAAAGACTTTTGAAGACTTAAGATGCAAATATCTGCAGAGTAGTAAGTCCAAATTAGGATATTAACTTCTAGCAGCTGTGTAACCATAAATCAATTTCAATACTAGTTTCCATCTCCAAATTCCGAACGTATTTAAAAGAGACATTACATAAGCACAGATTGCACAGAACAGAAGAAACTTGGCTGGGCCACAAATTTCTTTTCAACCATCTTGGAATATCAACATCATAGTAATGCCCGGTTACTTTGCTTCAAAATGTATATTAACACAAAACTCTCTTTTAGATGATGGAACAGCCACAGTACATCTAATTCCTGCAAGCCTACATGTAAACTAGGGCATCAACTGCCTAGCATAATACATACAAACAACAATCAAGGCTGGAGATGCAGGGGAATGAGATTCTTATCAAAATTACTCCTTATAAGAAAATCTTCTGGACTGATGAAATTTTGCATTGGTAAAACCTACAAAGACCATAGACGACCCCAAGTAACTTCTTTTACCTGACTCCCAAGAAAGAAATAGACAATACTGAAACAAGCAATTCTAGAACACAAATTCTTGGCAACCAACAAAGAGCACAAGAGAGACATCAGAAGAAAACAATATCATGAGTACACTATTATGCCATTGATTTTCCTTCCAGACTATCTGAAAGATTTGATGAACCTCCACAGACACACACACACACACACACCAAACATTAGTACACAGCATGCAATTAAATTTTAAAGGAATGAGATAAAATGAAGAATTTAACAACAAGAAGACTTTATATAGGAGAAGAGCACTACCAGAACACAAACATCAGTGTGATTATGGGAGAACCGCTCAGGCAAACAATTATACAGAAGTTCCACCACATGCCAGCCAGATAACGATGGCAACAAATCCATGGAAGGCAAGGAAGTCTTCAACTCTTCCCTGAGCTTGTGCAGATCAGGCATATTAGGCAAGGAAGGGAGGGATGTCATCAGTTCTGCATGAATTTTGTGTAGATCGGCCTTTTTCAGTACATCAGGGAGATGTAAAGAGTGAATATCCACAACATTCGGAACCTTAGAAGCAGTATATATGGTGAGGGAAAGAAATATGAAGAATCCAATCAGATGGCTGCAAAATATGACAAGACATGCTTAGAGATCAAATAAAGTTGTCGACCAAAAAATGCTATTCGAATATCATAATGGAGAATAAAAAAAAGTTGTAGTTCTTGAGGAAGGAGACAAGGCCAACGACATATCATATAGATGAGGCCTAAAGACAGGATATGTAGCTTCATATATTAGAAATGAGAAACATAACTGAAAATACAGAGCATATCTTATTTTCCAATAAGCTGCCGAACTACTTCCTTAAATATTTCTGATTATGAGATCTATCTTCACTTATTTTTTCAAAAGCACGAGCCAAAATGAGATCTCTCTTTACAGTCAAGCAAGAGCAAAAAGAATCAGAGAGACTGTATTATTTGTGCAGGACATTTCGAACTTCAAACCACTGATATCTAAGTTTCACCATTGCGTAGTCACCCATACAATAAACATAAGGAAAATGTCTTTGACATTTGGACAAACACGTGACAACTGGATTTGACGCATCAGACAACAATCAGAACTAGCTGCTAGTAAATGACTTCAATGACAAGGCAATATATGATCTTGACTAATATAACTATATAAGTTTTGTGGATTAGAGCTTCCACTAGTACAACTGTAAGCTTGTGGCGCTTTCCTATAAGCTACCAGAGAAATACTTCCATAGATGCAATCATTTCAATAGAGCCTGAGGAAAATAATGGTGAAGGATCTGAATACAGCAGGAACCAATCACATATTCGAACTAGGTTCCACAGCCATTCTAGACCATTTAACCAAAGAAAATACAAAATTCTTCAATGCATTTGACCAACATCTAGCCATAATTCATCCAAACAACAAAGAAAAGAGAAAAAAAGAGGGAAACATCATGTATTAGATGATTAAACAATGAAGGCATTGAGAATGCACAGACAAGTCAACAACCACAATATATAGAAATAGAAGAGCACAATTTTTCAGGAATCATCTGGTCAAAGTATACCAAATTGAAGACACCATAAATATACTATACAAGGCAAAGGGATTAATTATTCCAAGGATTAGCAAGCACTAAGACAAGGTACTAAGTCCTAGCAATTCTTACAATGACAATTTGCAAATTTTAAGCTTCAGGCACGCACTTGTTGTGCTTATAACTATAAAAGTTGGAAAAGCTAGCCAGATCCTTGGATTGGCTTACAACCAAGTAGAGTGTTCTACTAGATCCTTACTTCACCAGATAAGAACCTCGAGATCTTAATCTTAGATGACAAATTCCAGAAAAATAGAGTTGGCATATTTCGTTTCTTCTTAGAAGAACTCAAACCATATTAAAAATGAATACTTATCTAAGCTAAGAAATAAAGTTGAAACTTAAATGGATAATTGGAGCAAATTGGCCATAGTAGTGCTCCTACAACCTATTATTTCAATGTCAAAAATTAGAGGAACCCAAAAATGCAGCTGCAGAGAATAAACTTATAGAATACAATTTCCAGTCCAGTAAATTGGACCCAAAAATCTCAGGAGCTAATGCATAGTTCTTTGGCTGTTCATGTGGGGAACTGAATAAGTACCCACCAGATTGCAAGGTGTCTTTGACTTGATTAAAACAAGCAGCGCACTGAACCAATCTTTTGACAGTAACTAAGTACGAGGCAATCAAACTACCCGAGAAAAAGCCCGCAAACCATTTGAAACAGGAGCTAGTAAAATTCGAAATACTGTAAACAGGTAGCTGCAAATATAGAAAGCTTACGTCCAAACGTTCAGCGTCTCGTTGTGAATGGTGAAGATGCTAAGCAAAATTTGCTTCAAAGGCCACTCGGATCGGTAATGTCCGACGATGTACTCATTGTCCCTCAAATACGCGGGTAAAGAGTGGTATTCGACAAGCTGATACTTCACCTTCTTCCACAACCTCTTCCCTTTTCCTTCATGCGTGGACACTTGCTGCTGATGGCTCTCCATCGTTTCAGAAGATAATTCCGATTTCTTAAGCCTTTTGCTTGCCATTCTCTGATCGAGACCAAACAAGAATTCTCAACAATCTCTGTTGGTTGGAACAAAGAAGAGACGGTAATCTAAGAGCACACCAATTAAGACGCAGGCACACGATCAGAGCCCATTTCTCTTTCCAATCGCGCACAAGACACTTCGAAATGCTTCGTTTGCATAAATTATCTCTCAGCGAAAGAACATGATCACAGAGCAAATATCGCCTCCCAAGAAACAGGAACATCGAGCATATGGATAAATATCAGCCTTTTTCAGGTGAAATACCAAAGGATCACTCAACAGAATCGCTAGCACAATCAAGAATGACCCAGAAGAAGAAATAACAATTGACAAAAGGAAAGAGAAAGAGAAAACATGTGGGTACCTGAAATATAGAAGAACCACCGGCTGAGACACAAGACCCGGATGAGGATTCCTTCAAAATCGATCCCCCTATTTGAAGGCCTTCGGAGGCGGAGAAAGTCTCGAGCTTCGAACGATCGGCTTTACGTAAAAGCCGAAATCGAAGCCACCCGAAAACTCCAACGCCACCGAACCTAGTGCCAATGGCGACGACAACAAATACGCAACCTTTCTTGGCTGATATAGGGCTGCAACTTGCACGCGATGGCAAGCCGAAAAACAGAGACTTTGAAGGTGACGGTGACGCGAAACACTCAGGAGAGAGAGAGAGGGAGAGGGAGAGGGAGAGAGCATCAGAGAAGATGCGGAGATGCCGAGGAATTTGTTTTTTGTCGTTGGATGGTTTGGTGATGTTCACGGGTTCCGGGAACAGCACGGTTTGCTTGGGGAAATTAAGTTTGGATTAACGCTAATTTCGATGGAATAATATCGTAAATGGTCCATAAAATTTTAGCTCAACGTGTAATACGATCTTTGATTTTAATTTATTCAATTTGATATTTGAACTTTATCCAATTATGGGGAAAAGTGTCAAAAAAGTCATAAACCTTTTGCATTAGTGCCAATTTAGTCATAAACCTTTTGTCTTTGTGTCAATTCAGTCCTTTCGGCTAATTTTGATCGGATATTGCTAACATGGACACCGGCCAACCTACGTGGCACCGTTGGCGATAACGTGGATAAATTTTAATATTTTTTGAATATTTTTATTTATTTTTAATTTTTTTTCTTACCCTTTCTTCTTCCTCTAGTTGGTCGCTGGTCCGGCAACCGGCTGGAGGCCAAAGCTAGCGAGATTTGCTAGCCACTGGTGAGGGGGGCTAGGCTTGACTCTCGCCGAATTGCCGAGAGGGCGGCCTCGCGCTGGGCTGGGCGAGGCTCGCTCTCGCTAGCCATGGGGGAGGCTCAACCTCACCAAATCCAGCGAGGTCGTGCCTCGCCCAGCCCAACTCGAGGCTGCCCTCGCGGCCATCCGGCGAGGGCTCGAGCCTTGCGCTGGGCTTGGCAAGGTTCGCCCTCACCGGCCATGGGGGAGGCCCGACCTCGCCAGATTCGGCGAGGTCGCGCCTCGCCGAGCCCAGCTCGAGGCTGCCCTTGCGGCCATCTGGCGAGGGCTCAAGCCTCGCGCTGGGCTGGGCGAGGCTTGCCCTCACCGGATCTAGCGAAGGTCGAGCCTCGCCGGCCAAGGGTGTGGCCCGACCTCACTAGATCTGGCGAGGTCGTGCCTCACCTAGCTGCTCAAGCCTCGCACTGGGCTAGGCGAGGTTCGCCCTCACCGGATCTAGCGATAGTTGAGCCTTGTCGGCCATGGGGGAGGCCCAACCTCGACAGATCTGGCGAGGTCACGCCTTGCCCAACCCAGCTCGAGGTCGCTCTCGCGGCCATCCGCGAGGGCGGCCTCAAGCTGGGCTTGGCGAGGCTTGCCCTCGCTGGATTTGGCGAGGGTCAAGCCTTGCTGGCCATGGGTGAGGCCCGACCTTGTCAGATCCGGCGAGGTCCAACCTCGCCCAGTCAGCGGGGCTCGCCGGCCCTAGTCTCCCGACGACTAGCTGGAAGAAGAAGAAAAAAGAAAAAAAATCGAAAAATATTAAAATATTATTAAAAGTTGTCCACGTCATCGCTAGCGGTGCCACGTAGGTTGACCGGCATCCACGCAGCAAAATCCAGCCAAAAATAGCCAGAAGGACTAAGCGTGCGTTTGGCAACTTGCCAAATAGTGATAATTTCTGTTCTTTTGTTCTCAGAATCAGTTTAAGAACAGAAATCCGTTTGTTAAAATATTTGTGCCTAAGCACAAATTTGCAAAAAATTGTTCTTAGAATCAGTTTTGGAACAGAATCAAGAAGCAAAAAAAAAGTAGCTTCTTGATTCTGGAACAAATTTTCCATTTCTGATTCCGGTCTGCTACCAGCACGCCGCCGGTGACCGACCAGGGCCGGCGATGGCGAGGTCGACCTTGCCAGATCTGGGCAAGGTCGAGCCTCACCCAGCCAAGGCGAGGTTGACCTCGCCGTTGCCACCACCGGCAACGAAGAGGTTGGCCTCGCCAGCCCCCGACGACGGCAAGGTTGGCCTCGCCTTGGCCGGGCGAGGCTCGACCTTGCCGTCATTTGGCAAGGCCAACCTCGCCGTCCCCGGGGGTGGCAATGGCAAGGTTGGCCTCGCCAGATTTGGGCGAGGTCGAGCCTCACCCAACCAAGGCAAAGCCGACCTCGCCATCGCGACCGGCGAGGGCAGCGGCGAGGGCCGCGACGCCCTCGCCGGCCCTGGCCTATGGCTAATCACCGGCGCCAGCGACTGGCCATAGCCAAGGAAAAAAAAGAAAGAAATATTAAAAAATTTAAAATATTATTAATAAAGAGAAATTTGTGTAGTTACCAAATGCATTTCTGTTGTTTTTCTATTCTAAGAATAGAAATTTTGAGCAGTTACCAAACGCCTTCAAATGCTTAGAAATTGTTCCCGAGTACAGAATAAAAAAGAATCATTTTTTAGCAAAATCAGTTCCCGAGCACAGAATCATTGCTATGCGCACCCTAAATTGACACCAAAAAAAGGTTTAGGACTAAATTGGCACAAATGAAAAAGGTTTAAGACTTTTGTGACACTTTTCCCTCCATTTATGCAAAGTTATTAAATGTGGTCTTTGTACTTTTGGTACATGTTCAATTTAGTTCCTGAACTATATGGAATTGTTCAATGTGGTGCTTGAAGTTTTGGAATATGTTCAAGTTTAGGGATAACATTGAACATTTACATATAATCCATGAACTAAATTGAACATGTACCAAAAGTTCATGAATCATATTTAATAAATTAAAAGTTCAGGAACAATATTATACATTAGGCTAAAGTTCAGAAATCATATCGAACAAATTAAAAGTTTATGGTCTACATCTGCACTTTTGGTTTAATAATTATTTGTATCATTTCTTCAATTTTGACTCTGACTAGGTTAAATTTTAGCAAAACCTAATATATATCAGGAAGATATTTTGCCTTTGGTGGGACCCTTGTATGCGTCAAGGCCGTAAAAGGTCAGGCGCCTCGTTTTGGGGTTCCATGGTACGTCGTCAACTTTGGGTGCTCTATGTGTGGGGTTGATGAGCTTTGACAAATTAGGCCATGTGTTTGATCTGTGGATCTCTCACTTAGTAAATTTTAGTTCCACATTGAACAAAAAGAATAGATTTGCTCAATAATCTCGTTATGGAAATTGCCAACAATCAATGTACCGAGCTGATTCTGGCCCCCTTAAAATTTTAAACTTTTCGGGCGATTATTTAAGTGCCACATTGAACAAAAGTGATTGCTTAAGTGACTCCGTCTGATGACTTAACTTGTCAGAAAATATAACTTGTTGCTTTAATAATAAAAGCTCTAAAGGTTTCACATTAAATCTGTCATTCCTAACATTTTGGCACTAGACATTTTAAAATTGTATGACACATCTTGAATGCATCGATTTTCACATATAAAAAAATTAGGATTAAATGCCCCAAACATGCCCTAGCATTGTAGTTTATTTTCGCAAGGCTTTTGTTCGATCTCAAAATAAAGCAAGGTTAGAGAAGAAGCAATGTGAAACCAGGGATGGAAGGTGAACAAAATTTTGCTTAGTTCCTTCTTTATTGGAGGGAAGCGAATGAGTTTTTGTGATTTTAAGTGAAATTATTTAGAGACAGATTGTTGGCTCCATTATTTTGCTTTTGAGTCCAAAAAAAAAAAAAACAAAGAAAATTGTGGCAAAGCTTTAGAACATTTAGCTCATGACGTCAGTTTTGTCAAAATTCTAATTTTAAAAAGTTTAATGCCGTTACTCTACGAAAAATCAACTTAATGCGAAAAACTTTATGAACAATCACTTTAACACCAAAAATATTTGCAAAAATCCATTAAGTGACTTCAGCAAGCCACGTCATAAAATTAATTATGAAAATTGTCAAATTAGATTTTCCGGTAAGCAAAATTGTTGGGGCACTTAACTGATCTCTTTTGAAAGTCGTGACACACTAATGATCATTTGAAAATGTTTGAAATTAGAGTGGGAGTCATAGAGTAATTTTGACATTAATACTGCCCTTTTTCTCTCTCTAGATATGTAAAGTAAATTCCAAGTCCATCATTTAAAAATAATCGGAAGTTTTCCATATTCTACTTATATAATTTCTCCATTTCTCGTTTGACCAATAAAAAAAGTTGAGTCTCTTCTTTTCATTTCATTTATTTTCTCCAATGGTTACATTATCAATGTTTGTAAGAACTCAATTCAGTTCATATCGGCCAAGCTCCCAAAAGGAGTATTCCAAGTGATCACACAATGTGGTCATCATTTAAACATAGCTGTTTTGCCTCTTCTATGTAATTTGGAATTTTGGAATATTCCAAACTTCCATACTTAAGGAAATGACATACTTGTTAGTCGCTAAACAATACTCTCCCAATTGAATGCGTGGTTCATCCAACCTTGTCACCTCCATCATCTTAGAGACCTACCTGGAGCAGCATGTTGTCTTGTTATCTCGCCTCAAAGATCACTTCCCACTCTTGAGGGTATAGGTGTGGCCCATACATAAACCACGTATTTACCATAGGAGTTCCTGCTCTGATACCATTTGTAATAACCTGAAATTATCTACATTGACCTCACTAAAGGGATATCCTAAGTAACCACTTATGGTGGAGATCATATAAGGGTTAGATGTCTATTCATGAATCAATCAGCAAGGCCTTTCTCATCTAAGATGGGATTTTGATATGTCACAAATTTTCTTTCCCTTCACATTACTCATCAAATCACGGTGTTGGTTTAAAACGAGTCGTTTTGTGTACTTCCATTCTCTTCAAACAAGTTGCAGATTCAATCACAATGAAGAAATTTGTATGAAACTTGCCCCAAAAATCAGATACTTTGTTGATTAATCGTATTCACATATGTCTAAACTAGAGAAGAATTTAACCAGTCAATGACCCTCTAGATCTCAATGACTTGCAAGAATCAACAAAAGATCATCGTCATGCAAATCGAAAACGACAGTTTCGCTGATTCGTGCGGGAGGAAGTAGGTAGACATGGACAAGTCGGTCACGTGTGGTGTCCATTATTCTATTCGTCATATTCAGTACATAGCGTTTATGCCAAAGCAACATATGACGACATTCGTGATCCGAGCCGGGACTGCCCACAAAGAAGGCGTAACCGCCATAGTCCAAAGGTCAGGTAGCTCGGTGCGTAGTGATCACGCACCACAAATTTGTGACGGTTCGAATAGTCAGATTGGCTTGATAAATAAAAAAAGAATAGTCAAATTGGATGATAGTAATCTGCGAGTTACTCTTTAAATAGATTGAATTGTTTTTAC